TCTCAAATTTTTTTTAAACTCATCCTACAAAAATGTCTGGCAAGAAAGCTAACTTCAGTTAGACTGAATGAATGTTTTAGAATTGATACAGTTTCTCAGTTCCCCGTGAGAAACAGGAACTAAATAGTTCAGAATCTACTTAGAGATATAATTTAAATTATTTCTAATATGTTTGAAGATTAATTGTTCCTATTTATGAAAGGCTAACCCACCTTGATTTGTTATTTTTCGAAGTTAAAGGTATGCTGTATTTAGGAAAATCTTGAATTGATTTAGCTACCCTTGCTGTGGTTACCTTGAAATCATGACAATGCTACCTACGTTACTGTTTCTTATTTGAGAAATACGTTTGTCTAGAAAACTAAGGACAGTGAAACACTTTGCTGAGTTGCTGTGTGATTGTATGGTATTTTGGAAACTGAAAATATTCAAAGTAATGAGTTATATTCTACTACTTGCTATAATATCCTGTGTGCATAAGCCCCTAGGGTTAGTGTTATATGATTTAGTTTATATATTAACCTTTACTTTTTTTAGATTTGTAACTGTAGCGAAGGTAGGGACATCTTTTCTTAGTTCTACCTTTAATATGATACTTTATAAAATTTATATTGAGGAAAAGTAAACAAAGATGTATTTATTTTATTAATGAATTTTATGCTTTAAAATATTTTTTTCTTGAGTAGTTTGATGTAAAGGACTTTAGTTTTCTTTTATTATTAAATAGTTTGATATATTTTAAAAGTAAAAACAATTTATTTCAGTCTAAATTAGTATTCTAAATTAGTCTTCTAATTAGATGTTGATCTAAACCATCTAGCCTGGAAAAAAGAATTAAGATTGTTTCCCATTCAGTATTAGGAGGTTAGTTATTTCTAACTATTTCTGAATTGTAGAATGAATGTACTTTATTTTAGACAGAAAAAAATAGTGCTGTAAAACAAAGTAAATACTTTATACAACACAAAGTAATTGATGGAATCTTGTAACTAAGTACTTCTAATACCTTAAGATATAAATACAGCATTCTTTGTTAACAAGCTTATTTTTCTGTAAATAAAGTAAAATACATGATTTATGAGTGTAATTGCTCATTTTAAATTGGTTCAGTTTCCTCTGAACATACAGTTAAGTTTATAAGGCCAAAATTATACTTTAGTGACTGCCTTGTAATAAATTATGTGCTATAGTTTGAAAATCAATTATTTTAAACTCCCTCAATACATACTCTATTTTTCTTCTGTGTTTAAAATTACATATCAGACTTCAAGGATAGAATAAGGAAAAAAACAAACAAACAAGAATAGGAAAGGAGACATTTAAAAGATAACTTTTTAGCGAGCTATCAAAAATAGAGAAATATATATACACGTGTGTGTGTGTGTGTGTGTATATTTTTTTTATCCTCACCCGAGGACATTTTTGCATTTATCTTCAGATAGAGCGGGAGGGAGAAAGGGAAGAAGAGAGAGAGAGAAACATCGATGTGAGACAGACACATCGAGTGGCTGCCACCCATACAACCCCAGTTGTGGCTAGGGACAAACTGCAACTGAGGTATATGCCCTTAGCGGGAACTGAACCGGGGACTTTCTGGTCCGCGGGCTGAAGCTCTAACCGCTGAGCCAAACTGGCCAGGGCAAAAAATAGAGAAATATTTAAAAATATTGTGTCTTGCTTACTTTAATAGGTAGAATTTACTGTAAATGTTCAATAATTTTATGGTTGTTGACAAATTATGAAAAGTTATAATTAGTTTTAAAAATAAATTCAAATACTTGGATTGAGGTATTTTCAACAAGTTTTTGTCACAGTAGAGAAGTTTTAGTTTGAAATCAGTAAACTTGATAAACATTTTGTTTTTATATTCTAGGTCTCTCCTGATCTTTGTAATATTGAGGCTCTCCTACTAAGTAGATGCTTAGTTAGGCTTCATTTTGATATCTCTCCTGTCCCTATAGTAAACCATCCAAGACTCCTGTGCCCTTTAAAATCTTTTATAATATCAGCAACTTTTAATTATGTGGAAGTCCTAATATACATTTAAAGTCTTGAGTCTTCTCTCTCATTGTCAGGAATCTTTTTAACAAATCTTGTTCCTATAAGACATAGGTTTACTCAAGTGCAAGAGTATTGGACTCCTAAAAGAGGGTATACTTTTACTATCCTTAATCACTCTAACTGGTTATTGGTTATTGGAAAGAGTTCTTATTAGAACTGCCATTAACAGCACTGAAAAGTAGAATGTTTGACTGTGGCAAAATAACAATTAAGGAAAAATAGGGAGAAAAAGTGGAGGGGTACTCTTAGCTTCTTAAGGTTTCCTGAAGTCTGTGATTCATAATAATAATATATATGAAATAAGTCTTTATATCTTATGGCCATTTGAATAAGATACGCTAATTTGAATAATATAGTTGACTATTTTTTTTTTAAGGATCTTGTACTACAAATAGTTTATAATAAAAACTAACCACAAGGAAGACAGAAAAAAAAATTTAAATACATTTGGTATAACTAAGTTATACATTGAGATTTTTTTATTTAAGAGAATATTGTATTTGCTAATTAAAGTTAAACTATTTTTACATAAGGTTAGTTAAGATCTATTAAGGGATCAGATTCACATAAATGATGGAAAAGTAATTTAATGGGCACTTTAAGATGATAGTGAGATCATTGCCAAATTTTTCATTTTCATCTTTTTTATGTAATATACATTTTATATAATTTTCTTAAAAATATTGAATTATTGGTGCTAAGTGTTACCATATTCCTCACAAGAGTAAAAGTATTGGTGAATTACTTGAATAGTTAGAGCATATACCTTTTTTTTAATGTTCTAATTAAATACTGTATAATAAAATGTAAAGTTCGAGTATCACCTTGAGAAGTTTATTTTTCTTTTTTTCTTGTTTGACTTTTTATTTTACGTGTTTTTATTGGGTCATATAGCATCTAGTAGAAAGAAAATTGACCTGGTAATCAGGAGACCTCTGTTCTGTTTCTGGTTCTGCCACTGAACTTGTTTTGTGACCTTGGGTAAGTCACTTGAACTCTATGTATCTCGGTTATTCTCTATAATAAATTAAGGATTAGGTTAAGAAGAATTTTGAATGTTTTGAATCCATATAACATGAAAAATATTACTGCTGTGCCATTATAAAGTAATCCAAGATACAGGAAAATACTAGGTAGAGAAACTTCATTTATTTGTTGTTATGTTTTCTGGAAAAAATAAAAAAAGTTTTCTTAGAGATGAAATATGTATAAGCAGTCTTTAAAATCTAATTTATACCAATTTTATTTTAACATGAGGAAACTGTTTTAGTGGTATGATAAATATTTCTGTAGGGAGATTTTGCATAGAAGAAATAATGCAAAATATGGTAAAATTCAGCTAACCTATGATAATAATATATCTCTGATTTTTCTATCTTTTCTTTGAGAGATGGGTGTACTGGGGATGGAAAAGAAAACATGGCATATATCATTTCTATATGAGTACATTTCAGGAGGACAGTACTGTTATACTGGTCAATCCTATCAGAGTCTGATTTGTACTATAATTATGATGAGATTTAATGTCTCATTTTGAATAAGTTCAAGATGTACTTGTATAATAATCAAAATTACATAGTTAAGTTTTAAAATGTGTCATATTTTTTCGGTTCTCTATAATTCATACTAGGATTTCTCTTTTTTCTCAGAAAAAAATTTGGGGCATGTTTGTTCTTTTTTCCTAGAGGAAAGTTTTTATTTTCTCACTATTTAGGAAAAAAAGATGTTTGTTATAGGAAAGTACTCTAAAGAGTTATAATTCCAGTATATCAATTTTCCAAGTGTTGTTTGAAACAATATGGTTTTCTATGTCATTCAAAAACTATGATACAACTATTGCAGAAGTTAATGTGGTGTTTTCATTTAGGAATTTTGTGGTACCTGATTTAAAGCTAAGTAGGTAATTAAAATAGGAGATTTTTTTTTTTTTTTTTATATTGTGTTTCTGTGTCAATCATACTAATACTAACTTACTAATATCTTTGGAAGACATTTTTTTTGAATGTTGAATTTAGCAAACATTTCCTGCTTTCAATCACTGTATGAAATGTCGTTTGCACTTCTCTACTGCCAGTGGGGAAAGAGTGGTTCCAAAATGTGTGCCCTGTCTCTTACAGTAGATGTTGGATTTGGATGGGCAGATTTGATTAGAAACATCAATGATTTGTTATGTGGTGTCTATAAGAACTTTCTTAATGAATAAGCATTATAAAGGAATCCATCAAAGAAAATTTGCCTAAATTGAAGGTTGATTTTAATTTTTAATATTTAAATAAAGCCATATATTTTAGCTACTATTTCTATAATGATTTTATTATATTTGTTACTCTCAGTAGTATTTTTATGGTAATATTTTCCTGTACTGAAATAATTTAGTGAAATACTGACCTGGTGGCCATACTTTATTTTCATGTGTGCACTGATCTATTTGGGAAATTTAAAAAGCATAAAATCTGTTGGAACTATTTTTATTGCTCTATTTGAAGATGTTGCAATTAAACTGTATTCTTTAAATGATCATTAAAAATCCTAAAAGCATTTTCGCTGATCTTAAATGGACTCAGTAATGCCTTAAACAACATGGTCATACAAATAACATGGCTTTTTTTAATGGTATCTTCCTTCAGTATCAGTGTTCAGGATTGGCTGTCCACAAATAATTATAACCCTTTCAATCCTCTCTTTTTTCTACACTAACTTTATTTTTCTGATTCTGCTAACCCATAGTAACTTAACCAATTCACCATCAGTTCTTCCTTTTTTTTTTTTTTTTTTAATATGGTGTGTGTTTGATTATATCTTCCCTACCATTATGCACAGGATTCTTTCTCAAAATGATTTGGGACTCTTTCCTTCAGTGTCACCCTTTACCTTTTGAGTACATCCACTCACACCCATCTCCTTTGTCTATGTCTGTCCTTTATACGATGCGATCACAGAAGAAGTGGACTCCACCAGGAGAAGACATGCAGGTCTGTCTCTTCTACTGCTTTTCTCTGTTCTTTTTTTATTTAGCTAACTTGTCTTAGATTTTTTTTTTACTATTTTTATTTATTTAATTTTTCATTCTCCTCTAATATAAAAAGATGTTAAATCTTGCAGATATTTTCATCTTAGGTAGTTGTATAGTCAACATTTAGCAACAACTGCTCCAGTTAGGTGGATGAAAATAAAGTGATTAACTTTTGTGTAATATATCTATATTTTTCCCATAACTGGGTACAAATATATATATATATATATATATATATATATATATATATATACACACACACACACACACACACACACACACACACAGCTAGATTATATTAAATTAATTATAGTTTGTTCTTCAACTTATTTTAGACTTAAAACTTATGTTCAAGTTTTTTTACATAGTAACAAAAGTATTTTATTTCTATTGTGAGTTCAGTAATATGCTGGACTGTGGAAAATACGAAAGACCTAATACATACCCTAAACAAGTTATCAGTATCACTGAGAAGTTAAAATATATGGGTAACATGTTATATTTGTGTGCCAATATAGATGACTCTAACAAAGCTATAAAGTCAAATAAAATTCATTTTAACTAGTTGGCCAGAAAGGCTTCATGGAAGAAGTAACACTTGAACTAAAACTTGAACATTCATTCAACACTCATTTATTAAGAATATGCTGTGTAGTACTGTTCTAGATGCTGGAAATAACAGAACACAATATAGCCCACTATCCTTGTGAGGTTTCCTAGTGTGAGTCTAACAAGTAAACAATAATATTACAGGTACAATGAGAAATATATATATATAAAATAGAGTGGAATCACAGAGTGTGGTCATTTCCACCTAAAAAGGGTAGATATTCGTTCAAGAAAGACTTCATAGAAGAGATGACCCTTGAGTTGAATGTTAAAAACTAGAAAGATGTTGGGCTCGTATAGAGAGCATTTCAGGTAGAGGAAACAATATAGGCAAAATGATTCAAATAAGTTTAGAAAAGTAGACAAGGAGGGTTTCGGAAAGTGATGTAGGTTATTAAAGCGTGTAAAGTAGGGGAGTAACAAGATCAGATATTTCTTTCTGGGAAGATTAGAAGCTATATAAAAAATATACCTGAGGAGCCCTGGTCGGTGTGGCTTAGTGGCTCAGTGGTTAGAGTGTCAGCCCACACACCAGAAGAGTTCGATCCCCAGTCAAGGGCACTTTTCTGGGTTTCAGGTTCCATACCCCATCCCAGTTGGGGAACATCCAGGAGGCAACCAAAAGATGTGTGTGTGTCTCTCTCTCTCCCCCTCCCTCCCACCCTCCCTCCCACTCTGTCTAAAAATCAGTGGAAAAAATCCTAGGTTGATTAACAACAACAACAAAAATGTACCTGAGCAATATAAGCAGAAAGATCATTTATGAGGATAATGTGTCAATCAGTTAAGAGATGATAATGGGCTGAATTAAAGTATCAATAGAGGCAGTTGGTACATGATAAGTTATTTAAAGATGTAGAATATATAAAGCTTGTTACAGATTAAATATTATCAATGCAGGCAAAGGAGGAATAAGAAAAATCTCAGGTTACTGAAATGTTTGGATAGATTTTATCAAGATGGAGAATATACATTTTAGGGGAAAAACAAAAGTTTGATTGGTAGTTACAAAATAGTCAAAGTAAAGTACAGCATAGGAAATATAGTGAATAATATTGTGATGGCTACATACGATACCAGGTGGGTACTGGATGGAACTATCAAGGGAACACTTTGTAAAGTAAACAGTTGTCTAACCACTATGCTGTACACTGAAGCTAATACAAAATAATATTGAATATAAACTGTAATTGGGATAAACAAATAAATAAAAAATAAATAAATAAAATTTAAAAAGAGTGCAGTTTGGGGATGAGTTGAGTTTCCTATAGAAAATTCAGGTATAAATATCTAATAGAGGTGATTGGATGTATAGGCCTGAATTCAGGAAGAAAGTCTGGACTAGAAACATAGATTAGGGTATCAGCATTTAACTAATTCCATAGGAGTGAATGCAGTTGCCAGAATCATATGAAGAATAAGAAGAATGCCAAGAATCAAAATTCTGGGATCATCAACATTTATTTACATTTAAAGAGTAGATGAAAGAACAAGAGCTAGAAAAGTATGTTGAAAAGAACCATCCAAAGACAGTAAAATATCCAGAAAAGAACAGAATTCAAGGAAGGGAAGTGCTTTGTGAAGGGTCGACTGAACAGAGGAAAATGCCAGAGAAAGACAAAAATGTTAAATAATAAAACAAGTCAATAATGATCTTTGCCTGTTTCATTAAATTTCTGGAGGCTGCTAGTCACATTGAAGAGAAGGTAAGGGGTGTCTAAAAGAAAAGAATAAAGAAAGTGAATGTAGAACAGATTTCCTGATGGCTTGAGGAAATTATAAGAGTATGGAGGATGGGACAGGAAGTTCACCAAAGATGCATAGAATGGTGACAGTTTAAGTGAAAAACTTTAATTTGTGATGGCATTGATTCTCTAAGATTATGTAAATTGGTTCATTAGCACACTTCATATATAATCCTTGGGATCTAAGGTTGGAAGTTTATGGCACTTATAAGAAATAAAAGATGAGGATGTTCATTTTGGCTGGTAAGGAAAGTGGTTAACATGATGTCTAAGATAGATTAGGAAAGATGCTTGTCAATTATGGTGTTGTCCTGTTTAGTATTGTTTAGATTCACAATTTTCCAGGAACTGGGAGAGAAAGGCTTAAATGAAAGAGCAGGAATTTTTAGAGCCACTGAAGGCTAATGGAAGCAAAAGGAGAAGGTTATTTTCAGAGATTGATTTATAAATGTTTAGAATTCTCAAATGTTAGACAATTCCAAATAATGTAAAGATGTGGGGTTTGGTCCTGGGGGTGGGTTTCTGAGATGGGGCATGGCTTACAGTTTGGGAGATCAGGGAAAGCAACACACTTGGGTGCTAGGGTTTTTATACAGGTATTGAAGTCACTGAAGACATAAGGTCGATAGAAACTCTGTGAAGAAAATTGCCTAGGAAGTAGACAATAATAGCAAAGAAGTATAATGGTATGAACATAAGTGAGAAGATTTTACATGAAATTAGAAGTTAGCCATGGCTGGTTTGGCTCAGTGGTTGGAGTGTTGACCTGCGGACCAGAGAGTCCCGGGTTCGTCTCCCGCTAGGGGCACGTACCAAAAAAAATAAATAAAAGAAAAGTTAACATGTAACCAGCAATGCAGACCTGGAAGAATGCTTAAAACCACTTACAGTCTTCTGTATAGTATTCAAGGTATAGGATTTTGAGCAATTTTCTCTCAAAATGTTTCTGAGCGAGATAGTATTCTTGTTGAAGGGTCAACTTTTCATTCAAGTTGTGAGTTGAAATGGACATTCTTTGATGACACTGACCACATATGAGATTTAAGTAAAAGGAATCGGTTTCAGAATCCACACTGGAAAAGATTAGTGTGTCTGTCTCTAAGTAATGTAGGAAGAAAGAGAAAGAAGCTGTGATAGGTATATTGATAGTACAGACTAGAAATGTTTAAGAAAAAAGGATACATGCTAGCAAAAGGAATTTAAGCTAAGCCTGGGGAGAGGGAACTCAACAGGTTGAACAAAGGAATCTTCATGATATGCGTAAAGATAAAGGGAAGGTAGTTGAGGGTGTTTGAAGATTGGAAGAGGAGATTGTAATAGAAGCAACTTTTTTTTTAATCTTCACGCAAGGGTATGTTTTCATTGATTTTAGAGAGATAGAGGAAGGGAGAGAGAGAAACATCTATTCACTGCCTTCTGCACTCCCTCTTTTGGGGATTGAGCTCACAACTCAGGCATGTGCCCTGACCAGGGATTGAACTGGGACCTCTCAGTCCATGTGATGACATTCAATCCACTGAGCCACAGTGGCCAGGCTGTCAGCAATTATTTCTTAGTAATCTCTTACATAAATTATTATTATATTATAATGCCAATTATTATATTAATTATTACATTATGATTATAGTTGTTTCTGTGCTACATAAAAGTTTTCTAAAATATGTAAAAATGTTACCTTTTCAGATTGGTCCATTTGTCTGCCAGGTACTAATGTTAGTTTGAAAAGCTTAACAATTCAAGTTGAATAGATTTCAAATACTTCTTAGTAAAAATATAATGAGAAATAAGTAACATATACTTTGTGTTGTAATTATAATGCCTTTAAAATATTTTTAATGTTTAAAGAATTTTTTCAGTTTTTATGAAACATAATTGACATTGTATTAGTTTAAGGTGTACAACATAATGATTTGATTACATATATATTGTGAAATGATTACCACAATAAGTTTAGTTAACATCCTATAATTCTTAATAAAATTATTACTTCAGTTTCTGTTAGGGTAAGCTAAGGTAAATTTTTCAAAGCTAGTGAAAGTACATTATTCTTTTAAGAATAAAAACAGTTTCTCTTTTTTGTTTTATTTCTCTGATTATTCTGAATATTGACTATTGACTTGTATTGCCTCAAACTTGCACTTGAATTCTTATCATATTTGCTTGGCATATATGCCATATTTTGAGTCCTATGTGTCACTTGACTTTTTGTTCTACTTCTGTTATGTCCTAAAAGGAAAGGAGAAGTACCATTCATTTTAGGGGAAATTTAACATGTGTATATATGTACACATATAAATGCACAAATAAGCTGTTACTGAAATTTCCCAATATCTTTCAAATATTGGTTTATTATCAACCTTATCATTACACATTCTACCCATTTTACAGATCTTCTTAGGAAATGTAAATCTCAGTTCATAAGGAGGTATGGGATGTTAACTCTGTTCAGTACTGTGGTAGATAGCTTAGATGTTACAAGAGACATGGTACTTAGAAGAATTTTTTATATACATTTAATATTAATATTTTAAGTGATATTATACTATTTTAAAGAAAGAAGTCTCAAATAAAATATGTGTATGTTCATGTATATAAAAACCTTTCA